AGCCCTCCCCCAGCCCCGAGGTCGCGGCGCCCTCACCGGGGACCCCTCCGGACCTGGCGCATCTATCTGCAGCCGCCCCGACCCCGTTCCGCCAAGACACTCACCCACTCGCACACAGACACGCTCAGGACTAGGATCCGGGTTAGGATGCCACCCACTCGTAGTCTGGACTCGGACTCTTGGGTCACCGCCGCCGCTGCTGCTGCAGCCACCGCCTTCTCAGCCCGCACTGGGCTCTGGCTCCAGAGTCGCCTATTTAAGCCTCCACCCGCCCCCGCTCCCGCCCCCGGTTCACGCTGCTGCGGGGGCTGACGTGTCTGTCCACCCCCACCAGGGGAATCCCCCACCCTCCTCCTCGGACCTCGCACACCCGACACCCCGCCCTACCCGCCAGGGGAGGAGCAGTAGCTGTCTGGGAATAGAGGGGCTGACTGGTAGGCAAGGTCCAGGGCTGAGTGTGTGTGTGAGGAGAGACAGCGCGAGGCTGCCGGGGGAGTACGTGATGCGGAGGCAGGCAGCAGGGTAAACTCAACCAGCCAAGAGCAGCAACGGCCCTCAGGAGAAGAATTCGGTCTGGCCCCGTGAGAGTGAATTCTCCCTTCCCTCTCCCCAAGTCGCCGCTCTTCCTCTTAGCAAGTAATAGAGTTACAGGCTGGACAGAGATCCCTCTTCTCTGCCCATGACACCCACTCCCCAGAGGTTCAGGTCTGAGCTGGAATTTAGGGGGTGTCATTTCACACAAAATCCTTTCCACTCTCTGCCCATCCTGGAGTTGAAGATTCTCCCTAATGAGCCTACTCTTCAGGGTGAGGGTTGGCGTCACCCCGTGAGCCCCTGGGGGCCCTGAGAGGGCTGCTGGGGGTGGGGGCGGCTCTGACAGTGTTGCAGGTGGAGGTACCTGCTTGACTCCTGGGGAGGAAACCCCAGCCCAGAAGAGGGAAGGGATTAAACTCAGTCCCCATCCCACCTCCCAGCACCCACCAGGCAGCTGCCAGCAACTCTGCTAAAAATAATTTGTCCCAGCCCTGGCCCTGGCCCTGGCCCTGGCTCTGGTTATTCTGCTTCTGGACTGGAAGTTGCCCAGAGTTGGGGAAATCCAGGCCAACGGGTGTTGAATGCCAGCAGGAGCCAGCCATTTTGAGTCGCCAAGGTCTCCCTTCTTCTTTCTAGCTGCAGGCTGAGCCAGCTGCCCAGGGCACATCTAGGGCCTGGAGGTTCAGACCCCCACCTAAGAGGGGCATAAACACAGCGTGTGGTCAAGGTATGAGGAGTGTCTTAGCTCCTTGCTCATCTCTCAGGGGTGTGAGGGTTACAGGTCAGGCTGTGAGGTATTTTGTGGCAGGGACCTGCTATCAGACTGTGACATCTGATTGTGACAAGTGTGGTGGGGCTGGGAGGGCACCCATTTGGGGCTCAGGTGACATAACAGATGGATGGACCCTGGTGGGCTGTGGTAGGTTGTCATGGAGACCTGGGCCAGGCTCTTTGGCTGCTGCATCTGTTTCCTTGGCAACGCCTAAGAAGGCCTTGGATTGAGGAGGGCCTGGCTTGGTAAGATTAGGGCCCTCTTGTCCTTGAGGTCTCCAAAGTAGGCAAAAGCTGGGCTGAGGGGTGGCCTGCCCATGGTCCTAGGGGATCTTGGAGGCCTAGGCATCCCCATGCTGATTCTGGCTTCCTGAACGAACTCCAGTGGGAAGTGGGAGTTATAGCCAGAGCCTCCCATTAGCAGACAAGTCTAAAGAGCCAGCACACACTTCCCATGAGGAATCCTGGCTGGGCTGCCTGTGTCCCATCCAACCCCACAACTGTGCCACTGGAAAGAGCCTCTGGGTGTCTGGCAGAGGGTGAGGGTGGGGGGTAGCTGTGGCCCTTCCCAGCAGGGGGCCATACAAAGAAGCAGGGCTGGGTTTCCCCTCTGGCAATCTGAGCTCTTGACCTCAGCAGTGTTTCTTCATTGCCAAGGGAACTGCATCCACAAAGGGCCACTCAAGCCCCAGGCATTCCAGTGGCTGCTCCAACAGTCCAGAGACACTCACCACAAGCTAGATATGGCCAGGGGCCCCAGAGATTAACACCAGGACATGACCTTGAGACACCCCCACTCCCACCACCTGGTCCTCCTAGCAATCTGGGCTGAGCATGGCTGCTCAGGAGGAATAAATTGAGGCTAGAACCACCCCTAGATTGGCCTGGGCTTCAGATCCCAGCTGTGCCCCTTGCTAGCTGTTTCACCTGTGTCCATTTATCTAGGCTGAGCCTCAGTTTCTCCTGTGTAGAACAGGGATCATCTCTTCCTGACAGTTATTATGAGACAAAACAGTAGTTGGCTCAAGTCGGGCACACAGTAATATCTCACTAAGAGCACGTTCATCATCATCATCCTTGATTGGATGGGGCAGGTTAGGTGAATTTGTGTTCCCTCTCCTGTTTCTGCTCCACTCTCTCCAGGACAGTGGTCTGTCCAGGAGTGGGGCGGAGGTCTCAGGAACAATGCAGATACCTCTCCCCTAGCCCCATACCCATTCCTCCTCTCTGTAGGACCCCACACTCTTCCCCCTCCCTCAGGTGACAAGATGTTGCAGAGGGAACTGGGCTGGGCTTCAGTGTCCCCACCCCCACCTCACACCACAGCCTTCAGGCCCCGGGGCCTCTGCTGTGTTCTAAGGCCCAATGCATTCATTCATTCCACTAAACTGTACTAAATACCTACTGTGTGCCAGGCCCTTGTGCTGGGGGCAGGATGATGAGCAAAAATAGATATGGCTGGGCATGTTCATACATGTCATCTAATCCCTGGGTCAAACTCAGCTATGATTTGTTGTTCCCATTTTGTAGACATGGTAACCAAGGCCTGAGGGGTCACAGGCCAGAAACAGTAGAGCCAGACATACCTGGTAGAGGGTTTCAGGAACCTCAAACTTCACCACCCCCTGTACCCATGTCCTTAGATAGCATCTGGGGTTCCAGAAAGTTCCCTGGGCACTGGCCCAGGATGCACAGATGGTGGCCCTGCAGGGGGTGCCAGGCACAGCTGAGTCAAGAGTGACAAGGGGACTATCTGATACATCAGCTGTGGCATGAGCAGTTTGGTGTCCCTCACCCACGATGGCCTGGCTGCCAGGAAGCCAGCCGAATGACTCAACCACACCTGCCGCCCCCATGACTCCCTTCGTCCCCAGCTCAACACAGACACCATGGCCACCTCAGACAGGGACTGTCGGGCAGAAGGTACACACGTCGCAGGGTGTGAGGCCTTCAGCTTGGGAAGGCTCCCTGAGGTCCAGCTGTTCACCCTGCCTCTCTGGAGCCCTCAGCTTCCTCATCTGTGTGGGATACAGTGCCTAGATCATCAGAGCTAGGCCTAGACCCATTTAAATCTCCCAAAAGCAGTCCCAAGTGATTGCCATGACTATCCCCCTATTACAGATGAAGCAGCTCTGGGCAACAGGGGCTGATGGCTTCACCACTCTGATCTTAGGTAGCCAGATCCAGCACCTCCTCTTGGTCATTAGGTGACGAGGACATTCCCTCCTAAGAGTGAGCTGAGTGGGGACAATAGGAGTTGGAGTTCAGGATAGGCTTAGCTCCTTCTGCAGGCAATGGCGCCCCCTGCCAGCTGCACAGCACCTATCAAGCTGCTCAGGGCCTCTTTTACTCCCTAGCCAGAAGTCTTTTTTCTTTTTTCTTTTTTCTTTTTTTTTGAGACAGGGTCTTGCTGTCACTCAGGCTGGAGTGCACTGGCACAATCATAGCTCACTGCAGCCTCAACTTCCTGGGCTCAAGCGATTCTCCCACCTCCGCCTCCCAAGTAGCTGGAACCACAGGTGTGCACCACCATTCCCCACTAATTACAAAAAAAAAAATTTTTTTGAGACAGGATTTTGCTGTATTGCCCAGGCTTGTCTCAAACTGCTGGGCTCAGGCGATCCTCTCACATCAGCCTCCCAAAATGCTGGGATTACAAATGTGAGCCACGGTGCCCGGCTAGACGTCTTGAGAAGTAAATCAGAGTTGTCCCTTGGTATCCACAGGGGATTGGTTCCAGGATCCCCATGAATCCCAAAATCCATGAATACTCAACTCCTTTACATGTATTTTTTTACTTTATTTTTTAAACTCAACTTCAGTGGCTGAGATCAAGTCTCGTACATAAAATGGCATAGTATCTGCATGCAACCTCTGCACATCCTTCTATATACTGTAAGTCATCTCCGGATTACTACTGTAATACCTAATACAATGTAAATGCTATGTAAGTTGTCGTTAGACTGCGTTGTTTAGGGAATAAAAACAAGAACAAACGTTTGTACATGTCCAGTACAGACACAGTCATCCTAGGCCTAACTACATTTTGGATCCATAGTGGGTTGTACCCATGGATATAGAACCCATGGATGATGGAGGTCTAACTACATTTCTTCTAGAAAACCATTTCCTGTCCTAAAAATTTGGGATAAAAAAAGAATAGCAAGCTAGGCATGATGACACACGCCTGTCGTCCCAGGTATTCAGGAGGCTGAGGCAAGAGAATCCCTGGAACCCAGGCATTCAAGGCTGTAGTGTGCTATAATCATACCTATGGATAGCCACCATACTCCAGCCTAGGCAACATAGCGAGATCCTGTGTCCTAAAAAAGAAAAGAAAAAAACAAAAAACAAACAAACAAAAAAAACAGAGAGAGAGAGGATAGCAATTGCTGCATAGGGCTAGATGGAGGACTAGATAGTAAGTGTAAAGCCCTCAGCTGAATTCCACTCTTAGGATAGGCTCAATGCTGTCAGCAGGCACTCAAGAACAGATCTGCAAAATGGCCAGATCCCTACTGAGGCTTCTCTGCCCACAATCACATCTGAGCCTCAGTAGGGATGGAGTGGGGTTGGGCACTGCTTCTTAATATTGCCATTTATCCTCAGAGAATGAGACTAAGGCAGGAAGGATGTTCCCCCTGGGAAAGCGATCCTAACCGGCTAAGCCAAGGTCTAAGCCCTACAGTCTGTCCAGGTGACCAAATGCAATCTGGGCACAGGGCCAAGGGGAGACAGAGGCCTTAGACCCGAGCCTATCACTTCATGGTGCTGAGCTTCCCTCTTACTCAACACTGCGGGTGACACACGCCTTTGGGAGAGTTGACCAAGAAGGTGTCTCAGGTTCCCTTCAACAGAGAAGTCTGATGTCACCGCCCTTACCAGGGACCAGATGGCGCATCACTAACAGCAGGAAAAGCTGGCATCACATGACTAGTGGATTTATAAAAGATATATGCCACTCCTGGGCAGGGTTTTCATCAAAAAGCTCAAACCTGGACTCGTTGAGGCCTTTAGACCAACTTCCAGTTACAGGCAACACAAATCAGGAACAAATCAGACTGCAGAACTGGGACTTCTCTGAACTTTTCCAAAAAATCACTGTGAAGAAAGACAAAGGGCCAGGTGTGTTGGTTCACACCTGTAATCCCAGCACTTTGTGAGGCTTGAGCCTGGGAGTTTGGGACCAGCTTAGGCAACATAGGCAGGCCCAGTCTCTACAAAAAATTTAAAAATTAGCCTGGCATGGTAGCACATGCCTGTAGTCCCAGCTACTCAGGAGACTGAGGCAGGAGGATCACTTGGACTTAGGAGGTTGAGGCTACAGTGAGCTCTGATCGCATCACTGCACTCCAGCCCCGGTGGCAGAGCAATACACTACCTCTTGATAAAATGTTTTTTTGAATTAAAAAAACTGAAAAACAGCTAGGTGTGATGCTCAAGCCTGTAATCCCAGTGCTTTGGCAGACCAGGTGAGAGAACTGCTTGAGGACAAGAATTTGAGACCAGGCTGGGCAACACAGCAAGGCTTCATCTCTACCAAAAAATAAAAAAAATAAAATTTTTAAATTGGACTGGTTGGGGTGGCTCATACCTGTAATCCCAACATTTTGGGAGGATGAGGCAGGAGGATCACTTAAGCCCAGGAGCTAGAGACCGGCCTGGGCAACCTAGGGAGACCCTGTCTCTACAAGAAAATTAAAAATTAGCCAGGCACAGTGGTGCATGCCTGCAGTCCCAGCTATTCGGGAGGCTGAGGTGCGAGAATCGCTTGAGCCCAGGAGGTCAAGGCTGCAGAAAGGTATAACTGTGCCACTGTATTAATCCAAGCTACTTGGGAGGCCAAGGCTGGAGGATTGCTTGAACCCAGGAGTTGGAGGCTGCAGTGAGTTACAATCTTGCCACTGCACCTGGGCCTAGGCAACAGGGTAAGACCCTGTTTCAAAAACAAAACAAAAACAACTATGAATGACACATTAGGGAAATCCAGATATGCCTGGGTATTAGTTGGTGTTGAGGAACTGTTCATTTTCTGATCAGATGAAAGTATTGTGGCTATACAGGCTTCCTCATCTAGAGGGAGCCGCAGTACTTCAAAGTGAAGAGTCAAGTCTCTGCAGCTTACTCGCAAATATACTGATGTTTATATATGCACACATAAATAAGGCCAGTGTGTAATATGTCAACAACTACTGACTCTAGTGGTGGTGGTGGGCATACAGGCACATTCATACACTACTCTTTCCATTTTGATTTTGTTTTACTTAAAGTTGCAAGTACACCACCCTTCAGAGGCACTGACCACCACCATCCTCCCTCAAACTCCAAAGGACTCCACCAAGATGAAAGACACCAAAGCATGCTGGGAACTGAATATAAATTAACTTTATTACAAAAAGCAAAATGTTAGTTTCTCATTGTGAGTGATTCAAGAAAACAAGGGTAAGAGCCCTGGCAGGAGCTGGGACCAGGACACCAGTATGCAGGTTGAGGGGCCAAAGGCCAGGCTCAGGGGCGGGCTGACAGGCACTGATTCACAACCTCCAGGAGGTGGGTGTTCTCCAAGGCAGCTGCCACCCGCTCCTTATCTGCAAGTTGCTTGTTCACTAGGTGGGAAGGAGAGTGTGGGGAAGGCAGAGTCAAAGCTAGGCTCTGGCCAGAGTGCTAGCCAGCCCTACCTCTGAACCTCTGTATAGGATATGTCCCCTGCAGCAACAGAGCCCTCCTGTCACCTCCTTCCCAGGACCCCACACCTTGATCAGGCTACTTCAACCACCTGAGCCCACCTAGCCTGCCTTCTTAGGATCCCTCCCCCTGGCTGCCTCCCACGCTGCTGAAGTCTGACACACTCTGGTCCTGTATATTTGGTGAAAGGGATTTGGGGGAAGAGGACATGGTAAGCACAGGAGATTCTTGTCAGGCCAGCTTTGGTCTAGGCTATAACCTACACTGAGGAGTCTCTGGCAATTTCACTCACAAAGTTACCCATTCCCTGTCTTGCCGATAGACTCCTGGGCAAAGGGGAAGCCTCAGACTGCTTAGGGTGCCTGGGCCAATACCCTCACCACCAGTCCACCCTTACCTGCATGCTCTGAGGCATGGGTCCCCGGAGTAATGTGCACGTCCATCTGGGAGGGAGATAACCAGGGCCTGAACACCCACCCACTGACCCACGCTTTCCCCTGCAGCCCCCAAACCCTCAGGCACCATCTCCAGCTGATCCTTCCTCCTAATCATACCTTTGGACTCTGGCCCTTCCATTGCACCCCAAACCCATCCACAGGTATTCCAATTCTTTTTTTTTTTCCAAGAATGAGTCTTTCCCAGGCTGGAGTGCAGTAGCGCGATCTCAGCTCACTGCAACCTCTGTCTCCCAGGTTCAATTTGATTCTCCCGCCTCAGTCTCCCGTGTAGCTGGGACCACAGCACACGCCACCACGTCCCGCTAATTTTTGTATTTTTAGTAGAGATGAGGTTTCACCATGTTGGCCAGGCTGGTCTCCAACTCCTAACCTCAGGTGATCCACCCACCTCAGCTTCCCAAAGTGCTGGGATTACAGGCGTGAGCCACCGTGCCCGGCCCTAGCTATTCCAATTCTATCCAAAGAACTTGCCCACTACTGCTGATTTAAAGGCCTGCCTGTGCCCTATCCCTGGTCCAAACCCATCTGCAGCTCCCTGCTGCCCTTCCTGCCACACTCTTCAATACTTTTCTCCACTTTCCAGCTCAGATCTTTATTCTTGTCATATCGACTTGAAAAACTTCCTCCCAGTTTCCTCTCTGCTAATTGGGATCCTTCCAGGCCCCACTCTGATGTCCTCTCCATGTTCATGCTCTCCCAGTCCCCATCCTCAGCAGTAGATCCTCAATGCCTGGTCCCACTCCCGAGGCTCAGCTCCAACTGACCTTGAAACGCTGAGGAAGAGAGCGCAGAAGCTTGACCTTGATGGACAGGCCAATAAGGGTGGCCATGCTGCAGTGCGGAATGGTTGGTGTGAAGGCCACAGCCACTGTACTCTCGGGGTCGCTAACCTGGTTATGGAGGGAACATGTCAAGAGTCAACCACTCTCAGCCCAAGGCCCCTCTTCTTAGTTTGTTGCTTTGGGCAAATCATCCAACTTCCATGGGCCTCAGCTTCAACACCCATAAAATAAGCAGAACAATCTCCCTTCCCACAGATACCCTTCGGTGTCCGTGAGCGGAGAGCACGCCAGCTCCTGGTGCACAGAAACCTTTCTGACTCTCTGGAGCAATTCGCTCCCCTTGGAAGTGACTCACCTGAACCCGCACCTGCTCTACTACATTCAACTCCTCTAGCGTCAGTGGATGCTCCGGGTCATTGATGGAGCGAATCAGATGTGGGAAGTGAAGGAAAAGGGACTCTGCGCCCTTGCCCGCTCAGAACTTTCTGCCAGGAACGCCCAGCTGGGATGCGGCTCCACCAGCCGCTGGACATCACTGCTTCCCCGACCGCAAGCCCCCGGAACCCTCCCGCGCCCAGCAGCGGCGGATATCGAAGATCTCGCGTGCATCGATGCTGTCGGGAACCTGCTCGTCCTCCTCGCCCGCCGTCACAGGCCGCTCCCCAGAGCGCTGGTAGATGAGAGGGTTGGCATTCTCCAGGAGGCCGCCGCCGCCGACCCCGCCGCCGACCCCGCCGCCGCCTACCATCGCGGAATCACCACCGCCAACCCTAGCGGGCGTGCGCTTCCGCTCCTACCCGCGCACTTCCGGAGAACGGGAAGGGGGCGTGGCGTGGCGACGGGGTCGCACGAGGGACACGCCGCGTTGGGGGTTCTCCGCCTGAGGTGTGAGAGAAACGGTGACCACGATGCTGGCTGCGCGGACCCGGGAAAGTGATGGTCGCTGGAGCAAAGGCGCTGAGAAGGGACCCCGGTGGCGCTGGGTCATGCGAGCCCATAGCGGGCTGAAACGTAGAGGCCAGAGCCAGGTCTCAGGGGGCACAAAAGGCGGTGGTCCCCACACCGCCTCCTCCGGGAAGGCGGGCTGGCCGAGAGCTCCCGTATCCACGACGGTTGGTCGCCTCTGGCCTGGCAGGGCTCCTTGTGTCTCGGGACCTCCTGGTGAGCCGCCTGGGTCCCCTGCTGCACCATAGGCCCGGGAGTGCGGTGTCCTCATCGCTCGGACCGGCAGGCGCTCGTGAAATGTTTGTCAAGTGGATAAATGACCATGGCCGTGGTCTCCGCGGGAGGTGAGGAAACTGAAAGCCACAGAGGCAAAGGGGGGCGCTCCTTAAGAAGTGCCGCGGTCACGTGTACGTTTCGAAAGAAGGGCATGACTGAGTAGGGAGGGGACCGCGGAGACCCTCAGACCCTGGACTGTAAGGGGATGAGGGACCTGATGGGGAACCCAGGAGACTGAGTGCCGAAAGCAAGGAGGAGTTTCCAGAATGAAGGGCGCCTTCAGGCCTCCCTGCTTTTGCTCAAGCGGTTCCTTCACCCCGATCAAGTTCCTTCCCATTTCTCCATCTGTGGGGTTCCTGAACTCCTGCCAGACCCACCTTTTCCTGGCCCAAGCCAGCGCACCCCGCGCACTCTTTGCCCAGTCCAAACTCCGAGGCTGGGCGAGGCCAAATCCGGGGCAGTCTCTGGGTGAACAGCAGCGTGTCCACCGGCAGCGAACCGAGACCAGCGAACCGACCATGCGACTGCACCGACTTCGCGCGCGGCTGAGTGCGGTGGCCTGTGGGCTCCTGCTGCTTCTAGTTCAGGGCCAGGGTGAGGCTCCCGCGGAGGGGCGACAGGGACCGGGCTCAGATCTGCCAAATGCTGCGGAGGCAGAACCTGACAGTGCGGGAGGGAAGGCGCCTGGGAGGAGGGAGCTGGTGGAGATGACAGCGTGGAACTCGTGAGCCCCACGCGACACCTCCCAGCCACCCAAGGTGGGCTCCTAGAAGCGCGGAAAGGTTCGGGCTGCGGGACACCACGGTGAGGAGCCAGCGGACTACAGGGGCCCCAGGAGCGCCGGGACATGCCAGGCCGAGTCGGGAGCCTTGGGTCGGAGTGGGTGATGGATTGGGGGTGCGGGGATTCAATCCATTTCCCTCATGATTGTGGCCGTAGCCGGTGCTGCTGGCCGATAATAACAATAACAGCTTCTGAAAGCATCTGGCTCTGAGTGTGTTGCGTCCTTAGCCAGGGGGGCGCCCTGACTCCTCCAAAGGGGACCCAGACAAGGTTAGTGGTCCCTGGGGAACAGAAGCCCCCGGGTGCCAGATCCTAAAGCAGATCCAAGAGGCCGAAGTGGCTGGGTGCGATTGACTCACGCCTGTAATCCCAACCCCTTGGAAGACCGAGGGGGAGAATCGCTTGAGCCCCGGAGTTGGAGGGCAGCCTGGGCAACATAGTGAGACTCAGAGTGTACAAAAAATTAAAAGAAATTAGTGGGCTGTGGTGGCCTGTGACCTGTAGTCCCAGCTGCTTGGGAGGTTGAGGTGGGAGGATCACTTTAGCAGGGGAGGTTGAGGCTGCAGTGAGCCTTCATCGCACTACTGCACTCCACCAGCCTGGGTGATAAAGCAAAAATCTGTCTTAAAAAAAAAGCCAAAGAGCTCGTGGTGTCCCTCACGCCATTTACCTCATCCTGGGCAAGTACACAACTTGGCTTCCGGGGCAAAGATGATGGCTCTGTGTGCCTGCCAGGCTTCTCCAAGCCCTTATCAGAAACTCCGGGAGTGTTTCGGCCTTTGGTCCTCTCACCCGAAACACTCCTAAGTCTATGATCTGACTGTGTCTCCTGAGCCTTTCCCAGTTTAATCTGCCCAGGTGGAGTCCATACTCCCCCCGCCCCATGATGCACTCCTGCAGGGCTTCCTCTCATTCCTGCCCTTGACCACATTCTAGAGTTCACCAGGAGCCCAGGCATGAAGATTTGCCCGGCCTCACAGATGGCTACCTTTTAAAATATTTTGGGCCAGGCACAGTGTTTCACACCTGTTATCCCAGCACTTTGAGAGATGGAGATGGGAGGATCACTTAAGGCTAGGAGTTAGAGACCAGCTTGGGCAACAAGACTTGTCTCTATCAAAAAAAAAAAAAAAAAAAAAAGAGTCAGGCATGGTGGCACACATGTGTACTCCCAGCTACTCAGGAGGCTGAGATGGGAGGATCTCAAGCCTAGGAGGCTGAGGCTGCAGTGAGCTGTAATCGCACCACTGCACTTCAGCCTGGGCAACAGATGGAGACCTTGTCTGGCAATATATACACACATACACATACACACACACATACACATACACACACACACACACATACACACACACAATTTTGGGTTGGACCCACATTCAGGAAAAAATAATTGACAAGCCATAGGAGGGTACAGGTGATGTGTGCTGTAGTCTTTCTACCCAACCAGTCCTGGCTTCTCCTCAGGGGTCATCAAAGTCCCCATGGCATGCACTGGAAACTGCCTGTTCACACTGCAGTACACACAGTGCCCAGCAATTTACACAAGAAAAGATGTGTGTACTTGTCCTTGATTTTCATCTAAATGGTCATAAAATCACCTACTTTCTGGGGCAGGGCTTTTCCACTTTCTAACACATAGGGTGGCCTCCACACACCCCTACATGGTAGAGCTTCTTCATACTGATTAATGGAAGGGCTTCTCAAGGATGAAGCAAGTAACGAATCTCTTTATTACATAAGTTGATGTAACAGGTCTTTAACCAGGGACATTTCAGCAGGTGATGTCCTTTGCTGTAACAAACATCAGGCATCAGTGGCCAGTGGCCACAGGGAATTACCTGGATAGACATCCCCTCCAGCAAGGAATTGTGTGCAGGAGCGTGTTACTGGGGAGAGGAATGGGCCTTCTGACTTGGAGACATTGTTAAAATGTCCTGTCTGGTGCCTGTAAATGTCTACTGACCCCGGCCTCACCCACACCAGGTGGCATCAAACATATTGATCCATGTTAAACTGACAGGTGTAGGGTGGCATTGGCACCCTAAGGCTGTTTTGTTTTTTGACTTTTTTTTTTTTTTTCTTGAGACAGGGTCTGACTCTGTTGCTCAGGCTTGAGTGCAGTGGTGCCATCTCGAATTACTGCAACCTCTGCTTGGTGGGTTCAAGCGATTCTCATGCCTCAGCCTCCCAAATAGCTGGGTCTACAGGCACACGGCACCATACCCAGCAAATTTTTGTATCTTTTGGTAGAGATGGGGTTTCACCATGTTGGCCAGGCTGGTCTTGAACTCCTAATCTCAAGTGATCCACCCACCTCAGCCTCCCAAAGTGCTGGGATTACAGACGTCAGCCACTGCGCCTGGCCTGTGTTTGGACTTTTTATTATGGAAATGGGCTCAGATTTCCCAAACCCTACAGAAACAGAACCTGAGATTCCAAAAGGGAAGGTGCCAGGTAGGTGGGAGCTGGTGGGAATAACTACAGCAGGGGAACCTTCCTGAGGCACAGAGAGGGTCAAGGCTGCTAGAGGGCTGCACAGCACCAAGGAATGAGCCAAGTCTGAGGTAGAAAGAGTGATGTACCAAATCCAGCGTACCCGTTGTCCACCTTCAGCAATGACAAAGATCTTGTTTTTGTTTTTGTTTTAAATCAGCTTTCTCAGGTTGAATATAACCGGGTGTTTTCTGGATGGCCCCCTCCCCCTTGCACCGTTATTTGAAACAAATCCCAGATATCATCTCATCTGTAAATTTTTCATCATGTCCTACTAAAACAAAAGGAACATAAATGTATGTGTGTATTTCCATAACATACTGTTCTCAATTTAATCAAATATATAATTGAATATTCTTTTAATGTTTATAAATGATACTTGTATTAATACAAGTTTGTTTTTTTTTTAAATCAGGATTCAAATAAAGTTCCTACTTTGCAAATTGGTAGGCATTTCTTTTTTTCTTTTTTTTTTTTTGAGACAGAGTCTCACTCTGTCGCCCAGGCTCACTGCAATGTCTGCCCCCTAGGTTCAAGGGATCCTCATGCCTCACCCTCCCAAGTAGCTGGAATTACAAGCACACGCCACCACACATGGCTAATTTTTGTATTTGCAGTAGAGATAGAGTTTCATCATATCAGCCAGGCTCCTTTCAAACTCCTAACCGCAGGTGATCTGCCCACCTTGATCTACCAAAGTGCTCGAATTACAGGCGTGAGCCTCCATGTCCCGCGAATTCTCTTGGATTTATACTTAGGAATGGAATTGCTGAGTCATATGGCAACTCTATGTTTAATCCCTTGAAAAACTGCCAGACTGTTTTCCAAAGCAGCTGCACCATTTTACCTTCCCACCGGCAATGTATGAAAGTTCCAAGTTTTCCGCTTCCTTACCAACACTTATTATCATATGTCATTTTTATGTGTTTCTTGAATCTCTTTCAGTCTCCAAATTTACCTTCTGCCTCTCTTTTATGTTCTTTCTAAATTTTGTTGCATGTTGAAGAAACCACTTTATTTGTTTTGGAGAGGATCCCACCATTTAGGTTTTGCTGATTGCTTCCCAGTGGAGTCTTCTAACTGTTCTTCTGTCCCCTGTCGACCCTGTAAACTTGTATTTATATTTTAGAGGCGTAATCAGATTTGGGTTTTAGATTTTATTTTGTTTTGTTTTTTGGAGTACTACTTCACATGTGGTGCTGTGTACTTCTGAAAGAAAATATGTAATATCTGGTTGCCTTGCTTTTTGTGATACGAAAAAATGAGTGGTTGGTTGACATCACAGTGAGAATTCAACGTGCATTACTCTTACTATGAATGAGGTAAAGATCTCTGTTTATTTGAGAGACACTGGTTTGTATTGCTTATTCTGAACATATTCTTATGCTGCTTTTCCTTTTGTGTAGCTGTCATATTCTTTGTTAGTAGAAATGTTTTATCTATTAAGGGGACTGATTTTCTCTGTTAGGTGATTTTCAGTCACTTTCTCCCTCCTTGATCCCTACAGCAGTCATGCTATATTTTTATTGTTGGAGACTGTGTCTTGCTTTGTTGCCTAGGCTAGAGTACAAGGGCCAGATCATAGCTCATGCAGCGTGGAACCCTTTCTGCCTTAGCCTCCTGAGTAGCTGAGTAGCTGGGAATATAGGCCCACACCACCATGCCAATACAGGCCCACACCACCACACCCAGAGGCTGTGCTTTTTTGTTTTTGTTTTTGTTTTTTTTGAGACAGGTTCTCACTCTGTCACCCAGGCTGGAGTGTAGTGACCCGATCATGGCTCATGTAGCCTCAACCTCCCAGGCTCAAGCAGTCC